GCACTGGAATCCCAGGCCTTCAACCTCAGGTCTGACTTCCCTGATCCCCATGGCAACAAGAGGCTAGTTGTGGACCCCCATGTAGCTGGTTCTACACAATGCAAGGATTTTTCTACAGAGAGAATCACCAGCTGACCAAGTATGCTAGTTTTCCAACCCCTTTGTGTTGATGAAGGGGCACAATGGAGCCAGAATGTGGCCAAGGATCTGGCTCCATGCTTCTGCACAAACTTGGGACTGCTTACCATTGGCTAGCTCTAGCTACTGCACGAGGTGATGAGCCATTTAAATGACTCTTCCTTAACTCAGGAACCACACTTACTTAGATCCAGCACCAGTGGAAATTCTAGCAGACCCCATTTTCTTTTTCCTGTGGTGTCTGTTCATTTCTACTGGAGGACAAGTAGCCCCAGGAATGAAGAGGTTCATAGTCTAGTTTTGTGGTCTGAAATGGTTTTAAATGAACTAACTGTAAATAATATTCTTCTGTAAGGGGCAAATCCAGCTCGCACAACTTCCTAGTACTGAGGCTGTTATAGTTCTGCTGCATAAGTGTGTGTGAGCTGTTCAGGAGTATAGAATGGAGCTCAGCTCTCCAGGAGCCTGTGTAGGAGCACACAAGTGGTGGGTGAAGGCAGGGTACTGGTGGGAAAGGAAACGTGAGAACAGAGCAAGTTAAACCACTGCTAAATGGATCCTCTGGTCTCTCCATCTCTACCCTTTTTCAGGGACACGTTACACGGTATTCAGCCTTTGAGTTACAATAACCTCTATGAAGAACCTTGGCAGCTGCATCACAGGGTTGAGGGTTCGGGGAGAAGGAGCTTGACTTTGCAGGTCCCCAGCTATTTGGGCTCTGTGTTGGACTAATGATCTGATCCTAAAAGCTGGAAACTGTAGCTATTCCTCAGCACCTTTTTACATTCCTAATATATCATGACAGTAAATTGCAATGGTCATTAAGCATCTTACACAATTTAGGATACTGTATTTTTAGGCCCCAGTTCACAAAGAAAGATTTAGGAGGTTAGGTGCTTTGCTTCCATTACATTTTCCATTTAAGTCAGTGAGCAGAATTTATATGCACTTTATTACAGAAACATAAAATGCACATATCAGCATGAAGATTTGCTTGCAGATATCAAAGTCTAGAATGTATTTCATTTTTTGCTGCAGAACATATTCAATTATTTAGAAATATTTAAAGTGTCAGGGGTTTTCATTTCATTTTCCAAGAACTTGTGGGAACTCTGAAAATACAGTTTCACTAAACTGTTTTTCTCTTAGATCGCATAAATGCTGATATACTGTATCCTGGGGAATTTATATTTCACATTGCATATAGATAGGACATAAGATAACAGGCATTACTACTACAGAAGGATCCAGCCTTTTCAGTGAAGTAAATGCATTTGCTATGTATGAAGCTTGAAAGTGAATATGCTGTACAGTACAGTCACACCTGGCTGTGCTGGGCTTGGGTTTCCCTTAGATCGATGTATCTGAAAGCTTTCATTATCAGCTAGATATGTCATATGTGCTATATGATGAGGGATTATATAACATATAAATACATACACACTTAATAAAATGGTTTCATGAACAGATAAGGATTAACTAACTAGCTGTTTCTTTGTGGAACAACCAACTTGGAATAATCAGCTGCAGAATGGACTTTATACTATGTAAAATACAGTAACTGTACACACATTATATGTGCAGAAAGTGATCACATCACCCAGGAAAAGCAACACTGGGATTAAATATCCCATTTAAGGAAACAGTGAAAAAACAGCAGAAAGAATCAGAGCTCAGGGAAGGAATTAAGCTCAACAGCCCTAATTCAGCAGGGCATTTAAGCATATGCTTAAATCCATCCCTATTCCAGGGAACACTTAAGCACATGCTTAAAGTTAAGCCTGTGCTGAAATTCCATTACATTCAATGGAACTTAAACATCTTCTTAAATTTAGGGATGGTTTAAATACTATCATGAATGGTGATGGGTTGTTGATTCTAGGCATACGTGAGAGTTAATATTCTAGGTAGTCTCAAGTACAGATGTTGTAGGAACCCAATATATCAATTTTTCCCTAGCTGCTGTGGATTTACCAGTATGTCATTTTTCTTACCTTGGGGCCAGTCCATAACTTTCATTTTGTATAGAATAATACACACAAATGTAGTTTTAAAAAAGGTGAAATGTTAGATAATGTTATTTTTACTGCATGAAATATATTGTGCAAGATCAACTAATGCATCCCAAATTTAAAAAAAACCCTCTGAACTCTAGTTCAATATCTTTTCTGATAGGATAGATACAACATAATTTTTAATAAATACATTATTCAAACAGAATACTGTCAAGGCATGTGAAACTTCATGTTACAGACAACAACTTTAAGACAATTAATATTTTATCCCTTTTCTAAATTAAACTCCGTAATGCCACTTGATGAGCCACTATGTGCCAATAGAGCACTATGTTGATTAAAAAAATAGTTAATAATTAAAATAATGTATTTATAAAGTAGATGTGTCATATGATTTTTGAAACAGGGCTATATCCATGATTCTCTTCCATGGCACAATATAAATATAATGTGAACAGATACTGCTGCTGGTGGTGGTTTCATGGTAAAGATTACAAAAGCTGGAGATAGAGCACCATTCCTGAACTTCCCTAGTACAAATTTACTATTGCTTGGTGGGGAAATGCCCCTGGTGACGTCCTTCAAAAATACCCTATCCCTGAAGAGAAGCAACACAGGTAAAAAATCCCTCAATAAAATTATTTTGCCAGGAGAGTGGGGAATTTTCTGCCTCCAAGCACAAAATTAAGTCGGCTCCATTAGTGTCCTAGTCCCAAGAAGAGTGCTGTTTACTCAAGAGGGTTCTACTTACAGCAGGTTCCAATTTCCATAGTGAATGTGTTGTCCCCAAAGGGATTAGGAACCTTTGTAAGGCACTGATTATCCAAGCTAACTCCCTTTATAACAGAGTTGATCGACCTATTCAATAAATAACCACTTACAATGGTTTCAAATTACTGTAATTCCAGTGACATCAGCGAAATTCCTCCTGCTTTACACTGCTGCATAATCCAAATCGGTCTCAATGAATGGCATGGGGCACACTGGCTGTACTCACCAAGATAGTTTTAGGCTTGGCACAATGTACACCAACAGTAAGAAAATAGTTAAATTTTACTCAGACATACTGGGTCAAATTATGCCTTTATGCCCTAGCAACTCTGTTGACTTAAATGGAGCTGCATAGGTGTCAGAGATGGAAGAATATGGCCCATAATATGTCAGAAATGAGATAACTAGTTTGTATCCTCTGTTTAGATGCTGAATACTCTTATTAGTGCAATAAATCCAGTTTAATATTGAATATATCTTTAGTGAATACTATTTTAAAGTACATTTTTCATGACCAGATATTTATATATCCTGGCGATACAAAATGGATCTAGTACAGTACCTCTGGTCATTTAGGATGCATTTGAAAAGTATCTTAGCATGAATGTGAAGCTTTAAAAGAGTGAAAAAGCTATACGAACAGGAAAAACTCTGGGGAAGCATATTATTTTATTAACTGTTTTCTTTGTATTTGTTTCTTTGACCAAACAGGTCTGCAGCCTAATTTATACATTTTGATAAGGGAACTCAAATTTGCTGGCCCAATTCATTGTTATACCTTGCTACACCTTGTGTAGTCATTTACATCAGTGCAAATAAAGTCAAAACAATTCCACTCCGATCAGGCATCTTTGCACTGACCTTGTTCTGGACTGCATGATTACACAAGGTGCACGGCAATGGTGAATCAGACCCAGCAGTGCTCAGGCATCACAAGGCAAAAATCAAACCTGGCTAAACACCTGTGGGAGAATTCTCTTTGCAAAAGGGAATTTTCCAGTGACACAGAGATGGAATAGCTGTTCTTACACTTCCTTCTCCCCTAGTATAGGCTAAACTGTCTGGGTGCTAGAATCCCTGTGCCTGGCTGCTAGAACAACATATTTGGGCTTTTGGCAGCCCATGAAAGATAAAGTAACCCAAACATTGATCTATACTGAAATCAAATTGATCACATGAACCCAATAAACAGTTCTCTACTAAGGAAACACTTAGGCCTGGTCATTTTTATTTACCAGTAAGTAATGAGAACAACCAGTTAACTTTCATGAACAGAGTATATCAAATCTTCCTAATAGTATTTTGTAAATCCAACATCAGGATGGTAGTTCTCAAGTTTACCCAGCTGTAATTAAAAGAATTTATCACCAGCTGGAAACCTGTGGCTACTTGTTTTATATAAAAATCCTACAAGTAACTAAGCACATGCCCCAAGAGACTGGCAAATTCCTTAAAAACACTTCACCGAGAAACTGGTTGCCAAAACAAGGATTTGGCTCTAGTAGCAGTCATGAGTACACTGGGATTACGATATAAATTCTTTATACCTTGCTATGGCTTTGGCTTTGTGCGAGTACTACATTTAGACCCTTCTGAGGTACACTACATCATTTTTTTTTTTAAGTGAGGGGCAGGATTGGGCTTGTTAGCTGAGTAAAGTATTTGGACATCCACTTTCAGTTGGCTTTTTAAACACCCACAAAAACAATTTTATTTAAGAATAGACTGTGCACTAATCAGCAATTTGTTTTTAAAAATGTGTAAGACATCCAGAGCCTATCTGAAAATGTTTCTGAATCCCAATAAGAACATTTCTTTATAGTCACAAAACCTCGAAGATTACACTTCAAATGCCATATTGCACCTTGCCCAAGCATGGAATGAGAAGAAGGGTGCTGTGTTGAGATATAATATACGAAGTCTATTAAGAATATTAATTATAATCCTTACTCAGACTAATCTCCCACTGGTTTCCTGTTGGATTCTAAGGAAGTGAGAATATACTTAATTCCCTTTTTAAAAAATGAAGAACAGAGAAGTTAAAATAAAAAAATCTGATTCTGAAAATTAACATACCTGATACAGCAAGAAAATCGTCAATGCTTGTAATGTCATCCACAGCTTCAGTAAGAACATGTATGCGATTCTCCCATGTGCTCTTATATATTTCCATGCTGTTTTTCACCACCTGGCTTTTTGGTCTGGCAGCAAGAGCTAAAGCTGCATTAATAACCTGCAGAAAATAAAATTATATTCTTGATTTCATCTGAATAACTAAAATGCATAACAGATAATTAATGCTCAGAAATCAGAAATACTGCTTTAAGATATTCATCCTTTCCTTATATTCAAAGGAGGAATACTTGTCAAATATTGTACATGTTAACCTTCCTGTTAACTAAATTAGAGTTCAGTTGTAATTTTAATTGAATAGGACTACAAAATATTCTTTAATTGGAGAATTCGTAACATAAGCAATTCTGTTTAGTAACATGCAATCTATTTTTGTCAGTATAAGATAGTTTCAAAATATTTTGATGTACAATCCCACTTTATTAGGTACAAATAAGCTTTTACTACATAATAGAGAATCAGAAAGATGTATAACGTCACTACAGTTTGGGGTTTATAAACCCTTAAGAGTAGCATCTATGACACTGTAAATTACCTTCACTGAAGTTTTCAAGGCTTAGACATGGTATAGGGAGGTGTATACCAGCACAAGATATCATATTATCCCTGCTATGTATTCATCAAATGAAGAGAAAAAAAAGAGCACCAAACAAAAGACACTTGAAGAATTAAACAACAAAATAAAGTATCATATTCTACATCTCAGTCTAATATGCTGGCAAAGTAGATTATGAGAAAAACATACAAATTGGAAAGAATTCGCAACTCTGCTCCATTGTGATCAAGAGGTTATAGCCGAGCAGTTCCTGGTTCTAAATTCAGCTGAAATGCCTTCTCATTGCATGATCTTAAGAAAGTCTCTTGACCTTATGCTGGAGTGTACCCAGGAGAGTAATAAAAAAAACTTGCACTAAAGCTGATAGACTCCTTCCCTGTTTTAAGTGTTTTAAAATATTTCTTCCCTAGACACAAAGAGCATATAAAATTTAAAGTAAAAAAATACATACTAAATGTATAATATCATCAACTTTTGCAGGAGGAGGGAAAAAACAGAATCCTGAACTTAGTTCCTGGCAGACAAAAAGTTTCTCATTTCACATGTACATGAATTTCAGATGAAGGAGTGTAGAAGAGTGTCCCACCGGCCAGCATGTCCTGACATGGCTGGGTGAGGCATAGTAAACTTTCCTCATCTAGCAGCCCTGCAATGGTTTGCTTCTTGTTGTCTCTCAGCCCTCCAACCATGTCAATTAAAGGCTATGTCTGTTGTGAGCTAGGCATGTGGTTCCTAGCTTGCACAGAAACACTTGTGTTAGCTTTCATCTGATCTAAAAATCGTAATGTAGCCATGGTTGCACAGGCAGCAGGGGCTAGCTTCCCCAAATACATACCTATGGGGTCCAGGCATGTTTGTATTCACGGCAGCTAGCCTGTGCCCCCACTCACCATTGCCTGTGCTACCACAGCTGCACTACTGTTTTTAGCACGCTAGCCATGCCTCCCAACATGTCAAATGGCTAAAGCACAACATCCCCCACAGGGCTCCCCACTGTCCCCTCCCCACCAGCATTCTCACCATTGGTCTCCCTCCTCCATGGCTCTCCTCAGTTCTCCTTCCAATTGACTCCTATCAGGCCCTTCCATGAGATCACAAACTCCCAGCCTCTTCATTCCTAGGTCTCCCCCTCCCAGATGAGCTTTCTCTCTTTTATACAGTACCCTGATCCATTCACAGCTGTATCCAATAACTTCAATTAAGCTACTCAATCAGGACCAGCTGGAAGATAGCTGCTTCATCACAGGCAAAGCTGAGCCTGACTTCCCTTGGCGGGCCAGCCAGCATATGACAAGGAGTACATTGGTTAAGGAATAAAATAGCAAAATATACTATAATAGATGAACTATGAACAAGTTTATTACTAATATATATGACCTACTGTACTAACCTACAATATGGCAGTGCTACATTGTACATTAGGGAGGCAATCTTAAATAATACCCAATAAATGAATAAATATGTTAAAAGACCTGTTTCATTGTACATGAAGGAAAAGCAATCAAGAGGTCTCCACGCTATTCAAATTACTACTGAACCATTCTGTAGATTTCCAATAAAAATCTCCCTACCTTGACTTTTCACTAGTGTAAATCAAATTCTACCCAAAATTGCTGAATATAAAAAAGGGACTGTTATTAATGCGAATTCACCCTCTCCCCTTGATTTTTGGCTTACTAATTCCACAATTATATTATCTGTTTATATTATATTTCAAGCTCATTGACACAGGGATTTTTGCCTTTCTATATACCAGTGTAGCACCATCAACAGTTAACAAGAAATAAGTGTTTATTAAACTTTTCAAATTTAGAAAAACATAGTTATACAATTTTTAAAAGGGCAACTGATTTAACTCTGATAAAATGTAAGAACAATGCACGAAGGGAAATAATGCCAAAAACCTGAGCAGTTACAGTACAAAAGTCTTCAGATCTGAATGTTTTTGTTTAAAATTATGATGTCCTGTGTTTTCAACAAAATATATCTGCCAATAATTAATTGCTTGATTAACAATTAAGATGACATGGACTCTTCACTGAAAAAAATACTTTACTGAAGCTAAAGCTGGTGATTTTATTATTAAGCAGCCCTTGAAATAATTACAAAAAATGTAGTTTGCTTGCATGTAGTGCTGTACAGATTTGTCATTCAGAATGTAAAGAAAACTCTTGATTTCATGCAACTTCCTTTAAGCAAAAACATTGACTTTAGAAATTATAGGTTGTTGTCACAGCCTTCTCTGATGCCAAACAAGGACTGCCCAAGCCATATTTATTATATTCTAAATCAGGGATCAGCAACCTTTCAGAAGTGGTGTGCCGAGTCTTCATTTATTCATTCTAATTTAAGGTTTCGTGTGCCAGTAATACATTTTAATGTTTTTAGAAGGTCTCTTTCTACAAGTCTATAATATATAACTAAACTATTGTTGTATGTGAAGTAAATACAGTTTTTAAAATGTTTAAGAAGCTTCATTTAAAATTAAATTAAAATGTAGAGCCCCCCGGACTGGTGGCCAGTCTCGGGCAGTGTGAGTGCCACTGAAAATCAGCTCGCGTGCCGCCTTCGGCACACGTGCCATAGGGTTCCTACCCCTGTTCTAAATATTAGATGTGGGTCACTTCAGAGCAGGCATTCTCAAAATCTGGGTTCATGACCACCTTGCCCTTCTCATATGCCTAAATGGGAGGGGGTGCATCTTGCAAGATCTCAGCACATTTAGGAGGGAGGGCTTCTCAGTATTGAAAATGCGAAGTACCACTTTTTTAGCACTAGCTAACTCCTAGACAGTGCTAGAGGGGAAAGTGAGTAAGCTAGCTATAAAATTATTCACATTTAATATTTAGAATATAATAATGTCACAGAAATAACATTGGTAACTTAGATTAAAGGTTGCTTTAATGTACCTTTTCACGTGATTGCAAACACTAAAAAAGAAGTAAATCACCAGTCACATTCACAGCCAACATAATGCCAATCGCCACGCATAATGACAAAAATACAAAAGGAATCCTACAAAAAGTGGAAACAGACAAATTATTAAGGATAAGTACAAAATAATAGCACAAGCAGTTAGGGACAAAATCAGAAGGGCTAAGGCACAAAGTGAGTTGCATCTAATTAGAGATATAAAAAGCAATAAAGAAGAGGTTCTGTACATACATTCAGAACAAGAGAAAGGTTCACTACTTAGTGGGGAAGGAGAGCTAATTATGGACCAACACCAAGGCTAAAGTGTTTAATGCTTACTTTGCCTCAGTCTTCATTTAAAAAGTCAGTTGTGATTAGATGCTCACAAAATTTATATTAACAAGGTGGAAGGAATATAAGACATAATAGGGAAAGAAGAGGTTAAAGAATATTTAGATAATTTACATGTATTCAAGGAGCAAGAGCCTGATAAAATTCAACCCAGAGTACTTAAAAGAATTAGTTGAAGATATCTCAGAATGTCCAAGAAGACTGAGGAAGGACAAACATAGTACCTGTCTTTAAAAAGAGGAACAAAGAGGACCGGGGGAATTACAGACCAGTCAGCCTCACTCTGATACCTGGAAAAATACTGGAGCAAATTATTAATCAATTTGTAAGCACCTAAAATATAACAGGGTGATACACAGTAGCCACCATAGATTTTTCAAGAAAAATCATGCCAAACCAACCTAATTTTCTTCTTTGACAGGTTTACTGAACTGGATGGGGGAAGCAATAGACATGATATATCTTGCTCTTAATAAGTCTTTTGATACAGTCCCACATGCCATTCTCATAAGAAAACTAGGGAAATGTGGTCTAATTTAAATTACTATAATGTGGACACAAAACTGGTTGAAAGACCGTACTCAAGGAGTAGTAACCAATGGTTCGCTGTCAAACTAGGACATGTCTAGAAAGGTTCCATAGGGATCTGTCCTGTGTTCAGTACTATTCAAAATATTTTGATTAATGGCCTGCATTATGGAGTGGAAAGTATGCTTATAAAATCTGCAGATTACACCAAACTGCAGATGACACCAAGATGAGCTTGCTAGCACTTTGGAGAACAAGATTACAATTCAAAACAATCTTGACAAATTGGAGAACTGGTCTGAATGAAATCAACAAAATGAAATTCAATAAAGAGAAATGCAAAATATATTTAGGAACAAAAAATCAAATGCACAAATAAAAAAATGGGAAATAATTCGATATGCAGTAGTATTGCTGAAAATGATCCGGGGGCTATAGTGGATCACAAACCGAATATGTGTCAACAATGTGATGCAGTTGCCAAAAAAAAAAAAAAGGGAATATAATTCTGGAGTGTATTAACAGGTGTATTGTATGTCAGACCCGACAGGAACTTGTCCTGTTCTATTCGGCACTGAGAAGGTCTCAGCTGAAGTAGCGTGTCCAGTTTTGGCCAACACATTTTAAGAAAGATATGGACAAATTGGAAAGAGTCTGGAAGAGAGCAAAAAAATGATAAAAGGTTTAAAAAACCTGACCTATGATGAAAGGTTAAAAAACTGGGCATGATTAGTCATGAGAAAAGAATGCTG